ACTCAGTTAAGCTTATTCCTCTATAATTTTTACAGTCTCTTTTGTCCCCTTTCCCTTTATATAAAGGGACTATACATGCTCTCTGCCAATCCCCAGGTACCTTCCCCTCTTTCATACATTTATTAAACAAAAGTACCAACCACTCCAACACTAAAAACCCCCCCTGCTTTTAACATTCTGTCATGATCCCATCAGTTCCAGCTGCTTTACCCCCTTTCATTTTACGTAATGCCTCACGTACCTCCCCCACACTTACATTCTGCTCTTCTTCTAAAAGATGGTATACCTCCCTGACCAGTGCATGAAATTACTGCCTCTGTTTCTTCCTTAACATTTAAAAGTTCCTCAAAATATTCTCGCCATCTACCCAATACCTCCATCTCCCCATCTACTAACTCCCCTACTCTGTTTTTAACTGACAAATCCATATTTTCCCTAGGCTTTCTTAACTTGTTTAACTCGCTCCAAAATTTTTTCTTATTTTCATTGAAAATTTCTTGACAGTGCCTCTCCCACTCTATCATCTGCTCTCCTTTTGCACTCTCTCACCACTCTCTTTACCTTTCTTTTACTCTCCATATACTCTGCTCTTCTTATAACACTTCTGCTTTGTAAAAACCTCTCATAAGCTACCTTTTTCTCTTTTATCACACCTTTACTTCATCATTCCACCAATCACTCCTCTTTCCTCCTGCCCCCACCCTCCTATAACCACAAACTTCTGCCCCACATTCTAATACTGCATTTTTAAAACTATTCCAACCCTCTTCAACCCCCCCACTACTCATCTTTGCACTAGCCCACCTTTCTGCCAATAGTCGCTTATATCTCACCCGAACTTCCTCCTCCCTTAGTTTATACACTTTCACCTCCCTCTTACTTGTTGTTGCCACCTTCCTCTTTTCCCATCTACCTCTTACTCTAACTGTAGCTACAACTAAATAATGATCCGATATATCAGTTGCCCCTCTATAAACATGTACATCCTGGAGCCTACCCATCAACCTTTTATCCACCAATACATAATCTAATAAACTACTTTCATTACGTGCTACATCATACTTGTATATTTATTTATCCTCTTTTTCATAAAATATGTATTACTTATTACCAAATTTCTTTCTACACATAGCTCAATTAAAGGCTCCCCATTTACATTTACCCCTGGCACCCCAAATTTACCTACTACTCCCTCCATAACATTTTTACCCACTTTAGCATTAAAATCCCCAACCACCATTACTCTCACACTTGATTCAAAACTCCCCACGCATTCACTCAACATTTCCCAAAATCTCTCTCTCTCCTCTACACTTCTCTCTTCTCCAGGTGCATACACGCTTATTATAACCCACTTTTCACATCCAATCTTTATTTTGCTCCACATAATCCTTGAATTAATACATTTATAGTCCCTCTTTTCCTGCCATAGCTTATCCTTCAACATTATTGCTACTCCTTCTTTAGCTCTAGCTCTATTTGAAACCCCTGACCTAATCCCATTTATTCCTCTCCACTGAAACTCTCCCACCCCCTTCAGCTTTGTTTCACTTAAAGCCAGGACATCCAGCTTTTTCTCATTCATAACATCCACAATCATCTCTTTCTTATCATCTGCACAACATCCACGCACATTCAGACTTCCCACTTTGACAATTTTCTCTTCTTCATTATTCTTTTTAGTAATCTTTACAGGAAAAGGGGTTACTAGCCCATTGTTCCCGGCATTTTAGTTGACTTTTACAAACACGCATGGCTTACGGAGGAAAGATTCTTATTCCACTTCCCCATGGATATAAAAGGAAAATTAATAAGACCAAGAACTATTAAGATAAAATCAAAGAAAACTCAGATGAGTGTGTATAAATAAATGTGTACATGTATGTGTAGTGTGACCTAAGTGTAAGTAGAAGTAGCAAGACATGCCTGTAATCTTGCATATTTATGAGACAGACAAAAGACATCAGCAATCCTACATCATGTAAAACAATCACAGGCTTCGTTTTACACTCACTTGGTAGGACGGTAGTACCTCCCTGGGTGGTTGCTGTCTACCAACCTACTACTATAATATATATATATATATATATATATATATATTCTAGGTAGTGGGTTGGTAGACAGCAACCGCCCAGGGAGGTACTACCGTCCTGAGTTTACTAGGTAAATTGTATGGTAGGGTTATTATTGAAAGAATTAGAGGTAAGACGGAGAGCAGGATCGCAGATGTACAAGGAGGCTTTAGAATGAGTAGGGGATGTGTAGACCAAGTGTTTACATTGAAGCATGTAAGTTAACAATATTTAGGTAAAGGCAAGGAAGTTTTTGTTGCATTTTTGGATTTAGAAAAGGCATACGATAGGGTGGATAGGGGAACAATGTGGCAGATGTTGCAAGTGTATGGAATAGGTAATAAGTTACTAAATGCTGTAAAGAGTTTTTATGAGGATAGTGAGGCTCAGGCTAGGGTGTATAGGAGAGAGAGGGGATTGCTTCCCAGTAGAAGTAGGTTTTAGACAGGTGATATGTAATATCACCATGGTTGTTTAAAATATTTTTAGATTGGGTTGTAAAGATGTAAATGCTAGGGTGTTGGGGAGAGAGGGGGGGGATTAAATTATGGGAATCCAAACAGACTTGGCCCGATTGTGGGGTCGATCACTTGTGTTCTCTCGTCGTGTCGTTTTAACATTATTTTATGGCATAATCCTTCTACGTTTTGTATTTTCCCTTTTTGGGGGTTTTTTTTCTTTTTTTGGGTCACTTGCCTCGGTGGGAGAGGGCACTTGTTAAAAAAAAAAAAAAATAATACAAAAAAGGGAATTAACACGTTTCTTTTTTCTGATGATACTTGTTTTTTGGGGGTTCTAAAGAAAGATGCAAAAAGGTTAGTGGACGAGTTTGGAAGGGGGTTAAAGGGAAAAAAGGGGAAAGTGAACATGATAGGGTAAGTGATGGGGTATAAACGAGTTGGGAAAAAAAAATTTGGATATCACATTGGAGGGAGTAAATATGTTCATATATTTAGGAGTAGACTTGTCATTGGATGGGTTTTTAAAGGAAGAGGTAAACCCTAGATTTGATGAAGGATAAAGGGTGGGTGAGTGCATTGGGATATATGTGGAGACAAAGAATGTTATCCATGGAGCAAAGAAGGGGAAGTTAAGAGTATAGTGGTACCAAAAACTCTTATGTGGGTGAGAAGCATGGGTTGTAAATGCTGCAGCAAGGAGGAGGCTGGAGGCAGTGAAGATGTGTCTAAGGGCAATGTGTGGTGTAAATATTATGCAGAGAATGCGTAGTGTGGAAATTAGGAGTAGGTGGTGTGAAATTACTAAATGTATTATTCAGAGGGCTGTGGTCATTTAGAGAGGATGGAGTAAAATAGGATGACTTGGAGGGTGTATAAATCTGTAATGGAGGGGAGGAGGGGTAGGGGTCATCCTAGAAAAGGATGGAGGGAGGGACTGAAAGAGGTTTTGTGTGCAAGGGGCTTGGACATACAGCAGGCATTTGTGAGCATGTTAGATAGGAGTGTATGGAGATGAATGGTTTTTGGGACTTGACGAGTTATTGGAGTGTGGGCAGGGTAATATTCTGTGAAGGGATTCAGGGAAACCGGTTAGCCGGATTTGAGTCCTGAAGGTGGGAAGTACAATGCCTGCACTTTAAAGGAAGGGTTTGAGATATTGGCTGTTCGGAGTGACATCTGCACTGTCATATCTAGGTCCCTCTGCAAAGACAATGATGATGTGTGAATGATGGTTAAAGTGTTTCTTTATTTTTGGGGTAACCCTGCCTTGGTGGGAGAGTGCTGACGTGTTGAAAAACAAAAATAAATTAAGTCATGTATGGCTTCATTTGAGCCTTCATTGATGTTTGTATATAAAGTGAAACTTCAGCATAATAGATTCTTTTTACCTGTGAAACAGATTTTGCCTATAAGGACAAAATATTGGGCCAGACAAATGTTCAATATAGTGGACTAGGTCTGCTTCATTGAGATTTTGTCCATTAGCAGTAGTGTGCATGTCCAGTAGGCTCTCCATACAATGGACCATGTCTGCTGCTTTGGACATTTTGATACAATGAACTTTCATTTAAATGAGCACCCCTCTTCCCTATTAGTCCATTATACTTAATTGTCATTGTATTTCCACCGTGTCCGGTTCCCCACACCAATGTAGATTTGCTTCACCATCAGTTTGAAAGTTAATAACAGTGCAGTGTTATCCCCTTTCGAAAAATGTTGTTTAGTACATGGGTACGAATGAGGAAATTGCAGATTACAATGGTACAGGTTGTGTAGCCCATATCTTTTATAGTAAAGAGTGTGATGAATGGTTTGAAAAACCGACAAGTTGAAGATTGAGACACTTATGCAGCATACGGGAATCTTTATTCAGGAAACGTTTCGCCACACAGTGGCTTCATCAATCTACAAGATTGATGGACTGAACACATCGACTCCAGGCTGAGGGACTGATTACCTCATACTCCTCCCCTCCTTACGCCTTCCTCTTTGTATTGGACTGATGAAGCCACTGTGTGGCGAAACGTTTCCTGAATAAAGATTTCCATATGCTGCATATAGTAAAGAGTATAACATTTTAGGCAAGACTCAACCTAATAAATTTAAAATGTGAGCTACACAATTTTGGTGACAGTACTAAATTGTGTATTGAAATAAAATACTCAATATTGGTTACTAAACAGGAATATCATGACAAATTTGTATAAACTTATCTAAAATTATTGGCTGCAGAATCGGTATTTTTCTAAATTAACGTATGAAGCATTATGTAATTCATTATAATTTTTTCATTTATACTAGTGTATAATTTTTAAATCCTTTAAAATTCTGCTAAAATAAATGGACTGTTTGACACCCTTTACTAATTAAATCTTTAAAGTCATTTTGTTTTTATAGCATGCTGCAATATTTTGTTTGAGTTCTGGTATTTCAAGTTGTGACTGACACAGCAGGCTTGTGGTCTTAGGCTTTCAGGACGTCTCGATTCCTGGTGAGTCCTGTGGTAGAGCGCAAGCAGATACCTAGTGAGGAGGCGGGTGGGGGGTCAGGTGGCAGAGTTATCCAGCAGCAAGAGGAAACTATAACTTCCACTCCTAACCCTCTCATGGATGACTCCCCTAAGTCAGACTCCATTACTGCTTCCTCTACTGCTGCTCTGCCTGTACCAACCTCCTCTGCCTCTATTGTGCTTCTACCATCACAAGATCAACAGGTAATGTTTGCTCACTCTACTGCCACATTCTGCCTATCTCTTCACACTGTTCTATCATAAACCATATTTTTTTGCACTATAAATATTTTCTTTAATGTTATATAGCAGTCATTCTCCAAAGTTTGCTGAGACGACTTCATTGCTGATGGTTAGAGTCCTGACATCACCATAACATGTACACATTAATGAGACTAACTTCTCTTAAAAGTATGTCTAGTATGATTGAAAGACATGTTGTTGATATTTGAAATCTGGTTCTTGCTAGACAGAATTAGTGCTAGACAAAATTACAAATGTAAAATGTACTATATTTGTTAGCATTCAAGCAGACCAATAAACATTGTTTTAGTAAAGTGGTATTTAAGAAAAGTTTAGTTTAGAAATATGTATAGACAGGACATGCACGAACACACAGAGCACTTGCACACACATGCATGAGCGCGCGCATACCCCAACACAACGAGGATTGTTCACGAGTTAAGGGGCATGGGCTTTTGAGGAGAGATTAATGGAATTGAATCTAGTGACATTCAGGGCTAGAGGATCAAAGGGGGGACATAACATAAATATACTCAGGGAAATTGATAAGGTAGACTGGAATAGGTTATTTGAGAGGAAGGAGCAGGACCCTAGGGAAATTAAAGGCACAGATGATCCACAGGGGTGTTTGGAAATATTTCTTCAGTCTTAGTGGTCAGGAAGTAGAATGATTTTGATGAGGAAGTGGTGGAGGCAGGTTCATTGCATAGTTTCAAGAGTAGGTGCAATAGGACCCACAAGGCTAAGAGGGAGTGAATTAGAGAATGGCAAGATGCAGGGCCAGAATCTGAGAATGGACCTTTCACAGCCAGAAATAGGTGAGGTGAGTACATACATATACTGTACATATATACATACACATAGTATATTAATTATTTCTTAGTTTTAGCACATTGGCTATATCCCACAAAGGCAGGTGACCTGAAGAAAACACATCATTCTTCCTCTGGAGGTGCACAAACATTGTCATTCAACTCATTGTAACAATATGGAAGTTCACAAGGAATTTTTTACCTTCTGTAGCAGAATGATGGTTGGGTGAGTGGTGTAGGCATGACAGTAGCATCATCTGTAGCGACATCACAGCCAGGATCAGGAGGTCCCACTCCTCCACATCACTGTACCCCGGAAAACACCTACACCTCTGATCATCAGGCCAAACTCTCACAGCAGAATTCCCTGGAGAAGAGTGACAGGTAATTTAATTTTAAAAAATTTCAATGTAGAGGACTCCTAAATATACTGCAAGGTAAATTCTGGTAGCATTTGTTTATGGTCACCTCATTGTCTCTAGTTGAACAAATTGTTGATTTTCTAATGTCAAAGGCATGTGCCATCTCCTTCACATGTGTACCATCTTTAAGCATATCAATAAACTTTAATTTTATCAAAACAGGCATAGTTTTGAGCTTCTTGACACCTTCAACATCACTGGTATTTTTTTTTTTTTTTTTGGTGCCGTGGTTTAATATCCAGAGATAAGATACAGCTTTGAAAAGATCCCAGATATAGAGCTGTAAACATGAGAGAGAGAGGATGGTATGGAACACATCCACAAACTGACTGCATTTTTACATCAAGCTAGTTTGCCTTTCCCTAAACAGTCAGGAGCTTTAGTCACAGAAGAAAAAGTTGCTAATGGGAAGCAGCCTGATTTGAAATTTTTCCTCAAGTTTATGGCATAAATGCTCAGGCCAAAACATGAAGGATTTTACTGAATCTTGATAAATTAAAAATGCATTATCAACAAACATGTAAAAATGAGAGGTTCTGCTTTAGAAATGTATAATTTTGTCCTGTGGCATTTTGCCCTAATCCTGTAGGCCTTCCTTCAGTGCTCCTCTGTTCTCTTGTTCTTTTACACTACTATATTATTATACCACCACTATTATTATACTACTACTACAACATTATTATCAGTATTATTGCTGCTACCTTTTCTTTTACCCTTATCACTACTACCTCCTCATTACAAGAATACTACTGGTATTGCTATTACTATCGTTTCTAGTACTATTACTAGAGGAAGTTACTAGTACCACTAGTGCTATTACTACTAGTACTACTGTTACTAATTCTATTCCTAGTACTATGGTGCTGCTACCATAATTGGTACTACTATTAGTGCTAGTACTACTATTAGTACTAGCACTACTCCCTCCTCATTCCCCCCCATCCTGTCTTCTGGCTTTCTGTAACTTTCTTAATCATTTATGAGTAAGAAAGGTCCATAGTTAACCAATGGCCAACTCTGAACCAATGACTAAAATCTCATCCTAATGTTCCTCTCTCAAGCGAGGGGTTTTGTGGTTTATTTTTTTTTATGTGAAAAGGTTTACATAAAATACTAGAGAAGTGTAAATGCAATTTATTTGTGAATTTATTAACAAAATGAAAAGTTTTATTTCATTGCCAAGGTTACAAGTTGAATTTGGAAAATTTGACACTGTAATATGTCAGTGTAATTAAAATAATGGTTATTTCCAGTGTGACTGCTAACAGCAACCTGTCAGAGCTGGCTCGAAAGTTGCAACAGCTGGGGACGTCTGGAGGCACTGTTCCTCCGCTTTCATTGTCTTCTTCGCATACTCTCCCTCCAATGTCTGCCCCACTGTCTGCACCCAGCCATCCTGGTACTCCAATCTCTCTAGCTACTCAACCTACCTTCAGCCAAGAACTTAGTATGCAACTGGCAGGGGTGAGTCTTTAAATGTGAAAGCTTGTTTTCAAATATTTTTCTTGATTTCATATGAAACAAAATTTGAATGAGCAATGCTTCTCTGTTATTCATACTTACTGTCTGCTTAGCACCACAAAATATATACATCTGTTAGTTTAGTCTCGTTAAAGTATTGTACTTTGATTTTTTAATGGTTTTAACTCATTGTTTAGATTTACTCCTAAATGTTAATTACTGTATTCTTGTGATGTGTAAAATCGAACAGACGTTGCATGGAAGACTGGTATATTGTGTGCTTTATATGGTCCTGTAGCTACATCTAACTCTGAATGAATGTATTGTCTGTTGTGCTATGGTTGTTATTATGTATCTAACCATCAAATAATATTTTTTGCACAAAGTATTATTTAGAATTTATGTAGGTAGCTTGCACATATGTTGTTGCTTTTTTCTTCCTCATTTGATTTATTGGATCCAATGTAAAAGTCAGATTATCATATCTTCATGTAGTTGCATATTACTGGTTATTTTTTATCTTTCAAACATTATTTATTTTCAGTATAATACATTTCTTCATTTTCTCTTTAGATTGCTTATTATACTACTGGAAAATGACTCATCTGTATTTCTGTTAAAGCTTCAAAGCTATTGGTGTGTCTTTGTGGATATATGTACAGTGGATCCTCAGTTTGATGTTTCTCTGTAAGGCATTGATTTTCAGTGTCAGATAATGTTAAAATGATGTGGCATTGCATTTTGTAAAATATCATTGATGAACACATGAGTTTATGCCTTTATGGTATTAGATGAAGAGGTCCCACTGTATATGAAATAAGCCCTGATGGCAAAGTGTTGTAGGTGCTGAATTCTGGGGCATCGCGGTGTACAAGGGCCCTCTGGTCGCCATCTACCAACTACAAAACCTGCCCCGCCTTCTTCCACGTTTTGGCTCCTGAGGTGGGCGCCACCACAGAGTTCTTGTTCCTTGGCCAGCCTAAGGATCTGTTGCTACTATTTCCCTGGGCTTGTCATTGTCCTGTTTCACATGTGCTTGACATAATTTCTAGGCCTCCATCTTGTCTTGTGGTAATTTGTGTCACAACTTGCTCTGGTGACCTAAGCCAGGACACAAGCACAGCCATTATGCTACTGCATGTAAATTGAACTGTACTTTCTACTACTGTAAGCTTTAGGCTTGTTACTAACATTAAATGGGTGGCTGATGTCCTCTTGATTGGTTTCCTGGCTGTAACATTAACCTCATTGCAATATTTTCATTGTTGTGTTATAATAGTATATTTTATGTTTAGTTTTCCTAATTAGGTATACCCAGTAGGGGATATCTTATGGTTTTGTCCTGTGTATTTTTTATATTTTTTGTTTTTGTTTTTCTCATGCTGCTTTGTTTCTAGACAGTATCTTGAAAAGGCCCTTTACATTGATAGGAAGCTTCAAATGTGTGTATTCTTAAAATGAAAGTTCCTTCTAAAATTAACACTGTTATCCTTTGATTTCTGCATATTGGTATGAAACCAAAAAAAATCTATAGCATAAAATAATTTTTTTTTTTTTTTTTTAATTTTGGGCAGTGTAGCCTTCTGGTGGTAGATTTTGGAAATAGATTTTTTGTTAGAGGCCTTTGCCACTCTGCAGTGATATGACAGTGAATAAATGCATTGAAAATCAAGTGATGTGCTGGATTTATTTAATTCTGTTTGTCAGCACTGTTATCCATTTCTAGTATGCACTGGAAGTTAGCAGGCCAGGGAAAATGAGGAAAGGGAGTGTTAGTTATTGACTGTAGGGAAAAAGGGTTGGGGAATGAGCATGTGACACCCTCTTTCTCCTCTCCTTAACCCTTTGACTGTCGCGGCCGTATATATACGTCTTACGAGGTACCGTGTTTGACGTATATATACTCATAAATTCTAGCGGCTTCAAATCAAGCAGGAGAAAGCTGGTAGGCCCACATGTGAGAGAATGGGTCTGTGTGGTCAGTGTGCACCATATAAAAAAAATCCTGGAGCAAGCAGTGCATAATGAGAAAAAAAAACTCCGACCATTTTTTTAATTAAAATGCCGACTTTGTGGTCTATTTTTGTATAGTATTTATGGTTGTATTCTCGTTTTCTTGGTCTCATTTGATAGAATGGAAAACATATTATAGAAATAGAGGTGATTTTGATTGATTTTACTATAAAAAGAGCCTAGAAATGGAGCTCAAAGTAGGGGAAATGTTTGATTTTTGCCAATGTTCAAAAGTAAACAAATGATGCCATTGTCCAATAAATGTCCAACTAGCCATTCTAATATGCAGTCATGAATGGGTTGATGTTATTTATACAATTATTACAGTATTGCAGTAGTCTGCATAATAGTAAGTATTCTATTTTTTGTTTGAATAAAAATTCAAAATAGAAAGCAAGAGTAATATCAGAGGGGCCTGGAGACATGACTGATGAGCAAAGAAAATGTTATTTTAGAGCCAGGAATGCCTGCATTGTTCATTCTGGACCTTATTTTGAAATTGTCATATTTTTTAGTTTTCGTGAAATTGGCCAAATTGCAAATTTCTGACCACATTATTAGGTAGTTGAAATCGGTAAATGGGCAGTTTCTTGTACTCAATCGATAGAAAAAATGGAGTTCTAAAGAAATAGCTATGAGTTTGGGCGACTGGAACAATGGAATTAGCCAAAAATAGGGCGCAAAGTGGGCGAAATAGCCGATTTGTAAACAGCGCCGAGGTCGCTAACTTCGCGAGAGCATAATTCCGTCAGTTTTCTATCAAATTTCGTTTTTTTGGTGTCATTACAATCGGGAAAAGATTCTCTATCATTTCATAAGAAAAAATAATTTTTTTTTTTTTTTTAAATTTTGCGACACCAGGAGACACCTTAGGATTGGGGGTTGCGACAGTCAAAGGGTTAAACTAACTTGGTTCACTCAACTCGCCTTTCTCTCCCCACACTATAGTAAACTGAGCAGTAACATTTGTTACCATTTTTCTGTGCAACCATGATTTGCATTTCATAATAAACCGAAAAGAGAAGTAAAATATCGGTTAGTCTTGAGGGTGGGATCAGTGACCTATCTGGCAACTCTGCTGTGATCCTGTGTTGTATTGTAAGCAAACTAAGAGAAGAGGGCATTTTTCACTTCAACTTTCATGGATTTATTTTACTTTTGATTACTTGCACTATTTTACTTAAATTTAGGATAATTATCTTTAACCTAACCTAAGTAAATCTAATATCAAACAGCTTAACCAAAGGAGGAAGGAGTTGAGCTCAATATAAAAGTGCCTGACTAGGTCTCTGTGGAACCTGACCAGGTTATCCTGGAGCCTGACCTGCATATTATCAATTACTTTTATTTTTTAACCCTTAAACGGTCCAAACGTATATATACGTTTTTTCAACATCTGAAAGTATGTAAAAAAAATGTAGGTCTTTTTTTTTTTTGTTTTACATTTGAAAACGTGTAAAAAACTTTTATCTACATTATTTTTTTTGTTATATTTGAAAATATGTAAAAAAAAAATAGATCTACTTTTGTAGCACTATGAATTTGAACGTCGATCTGTTTGGACCGTTTAAGGGTTAAGGTGAAAATGGTTATCAAGTATAATTTTTTCTCATGTCCCAATAAAATAGGAATCTAATGTACAGTAGGCCCTGAATATTATGAGAATCTTAACCTCTCAAAAATATTACTCATGAATAGGTTAACCTCTACATTTTGCTGAAAATTTGTCTTTAAGCTTATAACCTGAATATATACAATACTAGGACAGAATTGCTTTTGCTGGAGCCAGTCATCATACTCGTTATAGATAGTAATCTCCATGCACAAACCCCATTTTGATATATGGATATATAAGTGAGTAATTTAATGTTAGTAGAGCTTGCTTCATAGTAGCACGTCTTTGAAATTATATACTTCTTCTTTTTCATACAGTTTATTACTAGAGATGTGTGGGATATGGGAATAGAAGTTAAATTTTGTGCTTTTGTATAGTACGTACTAGGAATTTGCTTTCCAGCGTAACATTTGTTTGTCTCTTATTTACTTGAAAGTCTATTTTGGTTGAATAACGTTTCACTGTTAACTAGGAAACTGAGTGGCTGAATGTGAGTGCTGCATTCTAAAGGAGGGGTGGGAAGGTTGCAGTTAAGTGGTTCATTCAGTTTGTAGTGCCCACACATTTTTGGCAAGACAGTTGTTGAATGAATGATGCTAAATTATTTTCTTTAGGTGACCCTATCTTGGTAGGAAATGGCTGCTGTATTAAAAAAGAAAACTTGTCAAGGTCTTTATATTAATTCTGAGTTTGTATTAATATTGGTAGAATTACCGACAATATAATAAGTAAAAGGACACAAGTGCAACTAATGTGACATTTTATTGTGGCAACGTTTCGCTCTCCAGGAGATTTGTCAAGCCGTTACAAACAATACATGGATACAGAGGGTATATATAGGCTTTGAATGAGGTGTAGTACAAGTAGAGGTGTTAGTAGTAGTAGTTGCACAAGTGATGGAAAAGTCAGCTGGTACATGAGAAAGAAAGGTTACAAAAGCTATGACTTGGGTAGCATAAAAATAGGTTGGGAAAATGTACATATATGGTTGGATGCAATCTCACATCCCAATCTATTTTTATGCTACCCAAGCCATAGCTTTTGTAACCTTTCTTTTTCATGTACCAGCTGACTTTTCCACTGCTTGTATAACTACTATTACTACCTCTACTTGTACTACACCTCACTCAAAGCTTATATGTACCTTCTGTGTCCATGTATTGTTTGTAACGACTTGATAAAGCTCCTGGAGAGTGAAAGGTTGCCACAATAAAATGTCACATTAGTTGCAAGTGTCCTTTTACTTAACAATTCTGAGTTTGTTGACGGATTTCCATGTGTGGAATTTAAGATCTTTATTATGTGATGGTTTTAGGGGGATTATTAATGTGTGTGAGGAACAGGAGAGAGCCAAGTAGGATGTCTTGTGAGACATAAATGTTTGTTGGGAATATGGGATAGGAATTATCATTTATAGTAACATATTAGTGTCTGTTGCTTAGGTAAAATTGAAGCTGAGAGTATGAGTGACCATTTACTCCATAGTGCTGTATTTTGGTGAGAAAGTTTTATAATTTAAATCATGACATACTTTTGTGTATTATTTTATGTAGCTGTTGTGTAGGAAAACCAAATCACACAAAATAAATTAGGAAGAAATATTACATAGCTACTTCCTAAATCTTCATAATTTGTGTATAACCACATTCACTGCTAAAAGAAGAGAATCATTCTTGAATGCAAGTGAACAAGAAAAAAAAAAAAGGACACACTGTCTGCACATCAGTGCAAGTCTTCAGCTCTACATCTTATTAAATGCTGTTGCCTGCTGGTTTATACATTTTTAAATGCCAGTATGAAAAAATGTTTGTATTTTTAGAATTAACCTTAAAAAAAAGTTACTTCCAATTTAAGACACTGTAACACAGTGTAATATAGTTATCCTGCAGATAAATAAAATAACATCATCCATTGTAGGTAGTAGGTTGGTAGACAGCAACCACCCAGGGAGGTACTACCTTCCTGCCAAGTGAGTGTAAAATGAAAGCCTTTAATTGTTTTACATGATGGTAGGATTGCTGGTGTCTTTTGTCTGTCTCATAAATATGCAAGATTACAGGTACGTCTTGCTACTTCTACTTACACTTAGGTCACACTACACATACATGTACATGTTTATTTATACACACTCATCTGAGTTTTCTTTGATTTTATCTTAATAGTTCTTGGTCTTATTACTTTTCCTTTTATATCCATGGGGAAGTGGAATAAGAATCTTTCCTCCATAAGCCATGCGTGTTGTAAAAGTCAACTAAAATGCCGGGAACAATGGGCTAGTAACCCCTTTTCCTGTAAAGATTACTAAAAAGAATAA